CCCCCATTATTTTGAATATTTGACAGTTATTTTCTGTTTTGTCCTTTATACACGATGTAACTCTCCGTGCTGTACCAATTTCGAGATTGATATCTCATTGAATACACGAGTAATTAAAAAAACACAGTTTTCAATTTCCAACTTTGACAATCTGTATATCGAATATAAAGGGCTGAAATGAAAAATGGTATATCGAAACTCATATTGTTTTTGTTCAAGGAATACATGGTTAATGGATTGACCTCCTTTCAGCGGACGCCCTGTATATATAGCATAATGGCCTGTTCAGCCGCTACAGGGGTACAGGGCATTGCAATTATTTATTTCAATTTTTTATCTTCTGCAACACCCTGTTTGTTGAATTCGTACGAATCTCCAATGATTGAATACTTTTGAAGAGTATATATGGTATACCAGGTGACCCGGAACCAATTCACCCCCTGTATCTTCGTTGCTATTCTGAATGGATCATTCAAATTTGGTAGATCGATTTCATTGCATTGGTGTATAATGGGCGTGTACACCTTAGTAGAACTTTTAACTCAAACCATGTTTATAATGATCCTTTTATACATAAATAATGACTGACGACATAATTCGATCGATAAATTAACTGGAATGTTTTATTTTTGGACATAAATGATAGTACCTTCTGAAAACGGAGACCCTCTTATGACGTAGAAACCCCATCTCGCCATATATATATAGATTCGTCCAATGCACGTTGTGACATCAATCCGTGAAAAATTTGATATCTTTTCGACATCCGGCTACGTTGTGACATCCGAAAACGGATGTCACAACGTTTTCAATGTTAAATAGTCGGGGAGGGTGGTGAGGAGGTGTAGAAGAAATTTCAGGTGGATGTCAAAATGAAGGATTTTAAAAATTCTGTATATTTTAGTTCTGGGGTGTATTCGTATAGATGGCGCGCAGGAGCACCGGCGCTGTATATTAAATATACAATTTTCAATTTCACTCGACGTCCTTTGTGACATCCACACATGAAGAATGTGTATATAGGTTATTATATATCTTATCTGCTGCGCTCTTCGACATCCAAAAATTGGCAACATTGTGAACAGTTCTATTTCAGTTGTCTGTGAATTTTGTTCCGATATAGGCGGTCATCGGGATGTGATGTAGTAACGTAAAAATCTTGTATATTACAGCATTGACTATCATTGCTTACAGTCATCGGTTCGACCTCTTTGCATTTTAATTGACACCTGCCTCGAGTAGACTGTGCAGGAAGGGATAATAATTCTCATATTAGGAACAAATGATTCTCTTTTGCTGGTGTTGTTTATTTACTTCGTTATTCCTGTCATACAAAAGAATTGCAAGAGATAACAATGCATCTACCTGATATTAGGAATAATGGAATGAAAAATTATTGATTAGTTATAAATATGTTTGTATTCTGAAAATATTTATTGAAAATGGAACCAAGCAGGAGCGGATCCAGGCAATGTTTGGGGGGGAGGGGCATAGAAGGACGGCTCATTGAGATTAGCAAGAAAGAGAATTTTTTATTGGTACCTTCTGAGACAAATACTTTTTATTATAAAGATTGATTTCAGTCTCGATTCTAGTAAACATGGAATCTTATTTAGTTTCCTTCCATGTATCAGAATTCCTGTGGGTGACTATACAGGGTGTTTCTTAAATACGGTACGAAACTTCAGAAGGTGATTCGTTAGGTCGTTAAAAAAACTCATGAACATATGTCCGTAGTTGCTTTGTTTCTGAGATACAGAGCTTTCGATGTTAAAAAAAACGGTATTTATAAAATATCATGAATATCCTCGAAACGGATTAGGTTTGGAATTCTATACAGCCATTTGAAGTAATAAGACGCCTATTTAGCCCTAACTAGATTGAAATTATCAGGTCCAGTGGCATCTCAGTAGGTTATTATATCAATATTCATGGTAAATATCATTGTACGCCACTCTTTTTGATAGGTTTGATATTTTCATTGGATTGTATAATTCAAAACACAACCAGGCTGAATTTCACTATCATGAGAGCTTATGCAGAGTGATCATGAAAAAAATCAATCAATACTCCCAACTTCAAGGCCCTGTATCTCAAAAAAAAGCAACTCTGGACATGAATCCATAGGAACTTTATTTTTTGAAACGACCTAACGAAAAATCTTCTGGAGTTTCATACCAGAGTTATTACATTTTTCAATATTCATGGGGTTTGCCAGAGGGCAGGGTTCATGGCCCCAACGCCTCTGCCCCAGGATCCACCCCTGGAAGCAAGTAGTTTAGGCGTCAAGCTCGTAGATTGAAAGGTACTAGTAATAAAAAAAAACATCGTTGGATATAAGACGCTAATTGATTTCATATGAGGAAATGAAAAATGCAGATGCTTAACCGCAAATTTTTTTCATCGAACTGAACACATAGTGTGAAAAATTTGTATTTGAATTAGTGATTTCCAGTGATTTCCTAATATGCGAACAGGATAACTCAACTTTCATATCTAACAAAACATTATTTCAGTACAGTCTACTAAAAGCTGGTCTTCGTAATGTTATTTTTATCATCCATTTATCATAAGACTAGATCATTTTACAGGATGATCAAACTTTAATGACTCATTCTGGAGTAATCGATAGATCGTGATGTAATAATAATAGTATCGCTTTCTATGAACATGATGCTGTGGAGCGGTTTGTTATTGAGATTACATGCAAATTTAATTTCTTCAATGAAAATATTTCAATATTGTTGATAGATTTACCGAGGGGTCATCCACTTGGTCCAATACGTATACACTCAGCGTCCAATCCCATCCCAATATTACCAGTCTCAAACAAATATGTTGAAGTCCAATTCGTCCATTCTGGGACCAATTCGTCCATTCTGGGACCAATTCGTCCATTCTGGGACCAATGCGTCCATTTCTGGTCCAATCCTGGGGTGAAATTTTCATTTTGTCCTATTCTGTCCAATCCGATCTGTTCCCAATTAATGTTATTTCAATTTTGCGCCAATCGCCAATCTGAAACAATCGATTCAATCCGGTCCAATCACAAACAGTAATTATGTCCAATATCATCCAAATCTCACACAAATATGAACAATACTAGTCCATTCCGTCCATTCTGGATCTAATCCGTCCATTTCTGGTTCAATCCTGGGTCGAAATGTCCGATCTTGGCCCATTCCATCCATTCCGAACTGTTGCCAATGAATGATATTTCAATTCTGCGCCAATTGCCAATCTTAAGCAGTCGGTTCAATCCGGTCCAATCTCAAGCAGTATGTCCTATTCCGACCAATATTGACTAATTCCGATTGATGGTGTTCAGTTTAAGTCCATCATCGTCCAATCCAAATAAATTAGGTCCAGATTCGTTCGATCCCGTCGAGCATCAACAAATGCAGTCTTTGTATACGTTATACGTAACGAGTAGATGGCCCCTCGAGATTTACCTCTGAAATTTTGTAGGCACATTGAGGGATCAGCATTCTTGAATTGAATCCATGTTAATATATCGCGATCGAAATATAGGATTCATGGCGGTCCCCATTCAGAGTATGTACTAAAAAGTCGATAAGAGAAAAGACGCCGGAATGTCATCCGGTCCTGGACCAGTGTTTTCAAGTGATCTCAGCGCTTCTAGAAATTCTGCCTCCGTTATTGGCTCATTTATTGGATCTTGATTGCCTTCAATTGCAATCGATGTCGATTCTTGAGTAAGTTTGTGGGTGAGAAATTCTTGATCGTAATTCTCATCAGTTGGATTCTGCTCATAATATTCAGCCAGTACTTCTGCTATGTCTTTTTTCTGAGTGATGATGGTGCCATTCTCCTCTATTGCATTTATTCCGTGGTGTGTTTCAATTCCTGATATTTTCTTTACTTTCTTCTATACAGAAGATGTGTGTGCTGCTGTTGATGCTCTGAACATATTTCCTCCATGAATTTCTGATACTTCTTCTCGTAATTAGTTGTACTTGTGCTCTGTGTTCTTTGAAGTCGATTTTATGTCCGTCTGATTTGGTTCTTTTGTATCTTCTCAAAGCAGCGTTACATGTTTTTATGGCTGTAGCACATTCTTCTTTCCACCATGGAACAGCTGTGTGATTCCTTATGTATTTGGTTTTCCCTACTGATTCATTGGCTGCGATTGTGATTGTATTATTGAAAGTCTCAATAAAATTGTTTCGTCTATGTAGTCTGTAATTTCTAGTCTGGAAATATTGTCTCCTATGATTTTCGTAGAGAGATGCCAATCCGCCTTATCTAGTTTCCATCTCTGAGTTGGTTTATCGTTGTCATTGTTTCTAATTGAGGTGTTGTTCATGATGATTGGGTGATGATCACTTCCATTTAAGTCATCTAAAACCCTCCATTCTTAGAGCGCTAGGAGGTTAGGGTCGCATGCAGTCAAATCTATAGCTGAAGAGTTTCCTGTGGCGGAGTTTGATCTTGTTTCTGTTCCATCATTCAAAAGGACGAGATTTGCAGTGGTTAATACGTTTTCTTTTCTTATTCCTCTGGGGTCAGTATAGTTCGAGCTCCAAATGATATTATGTCCATTGAAGTTCCCCACTATCAAACGTGGAGAGGGTATCTGATCTATTAGCACATTTAAGTCATGTTCACTTATGTCGGAATTTGGTGGAATATACATATATTGCATATATTTATTTTTGTTGAAGCAGAGATGCTTACTGCTATCGCTTCTAACTTAGTTGTTAGTGCTATTTGTTCAGCGTTCATGTTCGATTTGACGTATATAGCGGTTCCGCCACTGGCTATATCATTATGTGTGCGGATTTGAAAGAAACCCTTGTAATGTCTTAAGTGGTGTGTTTTGTTTTCATGGAAGTGGGTTTCTTGAAGACAAGGTATATCTGGAGAATATCCTGAAAGTAATATTTGGAGCATGTTTTAAGGGATGTGATATCCATTCAAATTCCACTGTGAGATAGATTTGAATTTGATTCGAAGAAAAAGTGGTGGATGAAAGTGAATCAGAACAGTTGGTCAGATGAGTCACTTTGGGCTTCGTAAAATCCAGATTCTACTTTTTTCTGTAGTTTCTTCCTTAATTTCGTGTATCTGATCTTGAGACTTCTGTCATCAGTATGGAAATGTACTTCAGTTAGTAATTTGATGAGTGCAGTAGTGTCTTTGGTGTAATCCTTTGAAACACTCAATGCATCTGTTGAGCCGTGAGCGTTTTCAAGTAGATCTTTGAGTTGTTCTGCGTCGATTATGCAAGGTAATTGTTGTTTGTTCAAGATGCAAATTATGTTTTTCAGTTGTTCAGGTCCAATTGTAAAGGGAACATCATCTTGTTCTTGTTTTTTCGTTCTTGATATGTCAGTTCGAGGAACAGAAAAAGTTGAAACATCTTCCGATGTTGGTGTCAGGATTTCCGATACAGTACGTTTGCTAGTGGAAGAATTCGTTTGGTTAGAGGACTCATCTGAGGTGAAAGGAGCAGTAGTAGCAGTATCGGTTGAAATAGTGACGGGGGTAGTTTTTTTACTCATTGTGGACTGTTCGGTTGTGAGTTGGGGAGGTTGAGGGGGGAAGGTTTAGGGTGGGTTGGTTGGGCAGTTGTATGCGATGTGACCTGTTTGTTTGCATTTGGAACAGGTTTGACTATCGCGGGCTAGAAAAATGCGATAAGTTGAATAATCATGCGCTAGTTCGATCGACTCAGGAATTTCTAGATCTTCTGTTGGTGTGATATAAACTTGACGTCTGAAGCTGAGGATATGATGTGGAATAGTAGGACTGATGTTTGATATAACTAGGCGATCTGATGGGGTGATTAATCTTCGGGCCCTAACGGTCTCATCATTGATAGTGATAAATCCCTGGTCATTCAAGAATTTTTCGTAGTTTTGTGTTGCCAATAGCATTGAAAACGATAGCTTGATCTTTGGTTGGAAATTTAGCTGGGGAATGTTGGCTCAATGCTGCTAAGTATGATCGTGTAGTTGAATTTCCAGAGATTTGGGGGGTATGAGAAGTGGAGCTTTGTAAAGACATGTCGCGCTCAGGTTGAATAATTTTTATAGGGTACTCGTCGAAATTTTCATAATTATTCTAACCCTCAGCGCGGTCCTGACTCCCAAATAGTGTTGTTGGGCCGAGTTTTTTCAGAGAGTAGTTTTTCTGTTGTTATCTGATAATGGTTAGCCAGATGGAGGCATTATTCCAAAGATAACTTTACTATAATTTGGTTCTGTACCTACTAATGTACTGACTCAGATATTGGAAATCTTCCTATGACATCTTACACTTTTTAGAATTTTCTGTAGTAAGATAACTGCAAAATTCGCAAATATAACGGAGCTGACAGCATGAGCTGTTAGGCGTATTGCGGACAGGTCCGGACTCATTTTCTATATTTGAGATAATGAATTCACAAGAATTGCATCAATTAGGTACGTTCATTGTACAGGAATTTCACCTGAAGAAGCAACTGTCTTAGCGAAACATGTCGTGTGATTGAGAAAGAATTTTGAGGAAATCCAATCGTTTCATGAAGTTTTTTACCCGCACTATGGATTTTCATCAAGTAACGGCCAAATCAATAAAAAAAATTGTATTCTTCCAAATTGACTTGGCCGTTACTTGATGTAATTCTATAAGTAAATGGGAAGAACTCAGCAAACGACAAGATTTGTATTTCCCTACCAACACGGAAATCTGTAAAGATGACAACACTGTGGAGATGTCACAAGGATAGTAAAATTTCGATGGATGTCATTAAGACCATGAAATCAAAATGTATATGGAATATACGCCGGATGCAGAAGAGATAGCAAAAAATGTTTATTCATTTTTGTGATAATCTCAATTATTTCCATCCCAGCAGTATCCCCTCTTCAATTCCACAAATGCATATTTTTATTTTGTCCATATCTGCATTCCTTCAGGTGGATGCCGAAACGTACGAATTTTTACCGGATGTCACAAGATACGGTGGACGAGTATATATATATATAAACCATATATATCTACTACTGATATATGAATCATAGCTCTCCTCAAAGCGGGACCCATTTCTGTCTCCATAGGTAATGAAATCGACCAATAGGCGTTGATACCGACGTAGGGAAAAAATAATAGGAAATTTGTCAAATCAATATGGCTGTTTCCATCCTTCACTTTTCGTTCTCATAGATTCAAAGAGTACCTCTCATTTTGGTCCCATTTTTGTTGAGATATCGTATAGGCGATGCGCCATATATAGAAATAGTAGATATATGGTTGAAACTGACACTCTCCTGACACTTATTACTGTTGCCATATCATCCAAACAAAATATCCGAGAAATCGAAATCGATATTGAAATATCTTTTGATATCCACTACCACTACTGCAGAAAAATATATTCGAGTTGTCGATTGTAGGTTGAATCATTGGAGTATAAACAATCTCTAGACAACGAAATGTCTCAATCTCAAAACCATTTGCACCATTACAATTTCACAATAATCCAATATATTTCATAAACATAGCAACATTGCTTTGTTGACCCGTTTCATGTATCATTCATCTCTGTCTGGAATAGTCTTGTTTCAGTATTAGGGTTTTGACGTCACATCATCGCCTCGTTTTCAGAGGTCCGAAAAATCGGGGATTTCAATAATTTTTTATAAAACGTAGGGAGCTCACAGCAAGAAACGGTTTGCGGTGGTGAGCTAGTTTGGGTGGGTTCTATCGAATTATGGAATAAAATTTTTTTGTGATATAAGCCCATTATGCTGATATCAGATAGAATATGACGCTCCGGGTTTGGCCGGAGGTGCATCCAATTTTTCCAAATGCAAAGTATAACAATAGCTTTTCAACCATCTATCACAATCAGACTTTTATTTCACATCATGTTAGTGAATTCTTTGAGATGTTACAAAAATACTTTTTTTTTGTGACGGAAAAAAAATTTGGCTTTTCATCTTTTCCGCTACGCGTCAGGAGACAACACAACCTGGAGCTAAAATCTACTACTTTTTTCCCTTGCATAATAAATAACTATTGTACTCCCTGCGTAACGGAGTATTTTCATGAGAGTGTGCTATGGATAATGAAATAATAGCATATGTGATGAACCTTAATGGCCTTCAGTTGGCAATACGTCGAATAAATGGTGACGTTAGTTTTTATACTATTTCGTTATTGATCAGATGACCTTCCATTTCCACTCATGAAGCAAGTTTGCCAAATCACCAATTATAATCAATTTATCAAGAAGATGTTAGAGTCCTGTCGTTGAATAAATCACATTTTTCGAGCAACGAGCATGGCCAAATATATCTTAATCTCCATAACAGAATATCATGTGAATGTTGGAGACTTGGCAACATTGTTCTGAATGCTGAGAACTGACAAGACCACGCTCACAAGTCGTACGTCGTGGTTGTCACGTTCACTGATTCAAATGTCCTCTAGTGTGAATTAATATAATCATTATTTACACAAATTTATTATGAGCAATAATAAGCCACAGATCATGAGGGAACATTTTGAGACAATTGAATTCTTATCGCTAATTAGGAGTATTACCAATACTCAATTGGGAATTCATGAATCATCGAATAACTAATGTTTCTGAAGTTCCCAATCGTATTTCAACACATAGCAATAAGTCTGCTATGGTCTGCCCCTACTTACGAAATCGTGGCTTCAGTTCTTACTGGCGGTAAATTCCTAGCCGTTTGAAAATTATCGTTGCATTATTGCATGATTTTAGCACCTAAAATCAATCAAAAATAGGAAATTGAAAGGTATATATGAGTGATGATTCTATTCGAGAAATAAAAAAAAATTGTCCACTTGCCTATCATTCGAAACTCGACTCGCAAATTTTGCTTTCGCTCGGCTTCGCTAAACGCTCCGCCTCGCAAATGCAAAATTCGCTTGTCAAACAAAGTGTCACTTTTGATCCTAATGAAACAATCTACTATTTTTCATTTCACAATTACCAGTGCGTTACGATTTGAGTCATCCCACCCCTGTACTTTCGTATCCCTAGGGCGATTTGAATTGTTTTTCTCTCATGATATACTACTCAAAATTATCCACTCAGTCGGGCAAGAAGAAATTATCAAACAACAAATGTTTTGGCCTATGTACTGCGATCACAGAAATAAAACGGATTATTCTTTTTTTTTCATAAATGTTGATAATGGCAATCGCTTTGAACTGGTTAAAAATACTCCTATATCAATTTCCGAAACAATATCTCTTAGGGGGTATTTTTCCATAAACGTTACGGTTTTTGAATAATTGTATTCTCCAAGTCTCTTCTTCTCATAAGAATTTCAATGATACCAGGCATGATGATAGTCAGGATTAGATCATCTGTCTATAGAGTGAGATGAATAATGAATGAAATCACTAGAAATTTGAATTTTCCATCAAGAAATGAGAAGAAGAAGAAAAACCTCGATAACACCAATTGAGAAATAACATAAAAAAATAGATCTGAACTAAAACAGCAACCATTCCTAAAAAGTTCAGATTTTTGTATATTATCGATCAAATCTCCTTCATTCTCTGTACACTTTTCATATCTCTCTCGCAGGTTATTTTCAACTCTCCTCAGTTCTTTCGCAAACTGTTATTATTCTTCGTTGCAACTCTCCTCTATTTCTTGGCCTTTCTCACTACGTAGCCAGATGATTTAATCCTGACTATCATCATGTCTGGTATTATTCCCATTCTCGAAAGAATTATTATACACGGTGACTTGAAAAATGCAATCATTCAAAAATTGAACGTTGATACAGAATGACAAAAAAATAACACCAGTACACACTAGCCTACCCAGCAAACATTGAACTAGCGGGAGAAGTCCGGCCTAGTGCAGGCTAGTCTGGGAAAGTGACGATGACGGGGTATTGGTAATGGGCCGATGATTTTCCTATGCCTAGTAACCATCAGTTGAAAATACGATGATGGCCTTGTGATGGTAAGATGTCTGGAACTAATTGAATACTAACGAGATCTGGCCCTTTGCTGGCCAATTTCATGTTCGCTACTCGTCCCCTTGGTGAATTTTCTGGGAACGTCTACATCAAAAATCAGCTGATCAATATTATATGTGACTAAGATGGCTGACTCTCGTGTGTGGTGATCGCGTACTAGTCGAATTACTGTGGTCCTCTCTTTCCTTGGTGGTTATTCATGATAGCAGGAGTATTCTCAATTGATAATAATAGAAGACGGATTCTTCTATTATGATAATATTGAGTAAGTATCAATATACCTACATAGTGTTTCGAATTTCATCATCAAATGCATGTGTTTGGTATCTCGTAACCTCATCTACCTAATGATCATGATAATTGGAGTTGGCTTTACTTCTCCAAGAGCAACTATCATTTTCAACTTGTTTGTTGCTATCAAAAGCAATCTTGGGTTATGTGATTCTGTCTCTATATTGAAGAACTAAATGACAATAAGGTTTCAGCTACAGAGATCACTGTGCCAAGAAAATAACGCGAATTGGAAAGCTCCATGTTATCACGTTATC